CTTGGCACAGAGCAGGGCTCTCGGGAAAATGCTTTGCAGGCTGGGAAGGCAGCTCCAGAAGAGGAGTTCCAAATGTTTAGAGGAAAAACAACCCAATTAGAGTAAGTATCTGACCTCCCAGGGAGCATGTGCTGAAAAGAGCCGACATTCCTTCGAGTGCTTAGTTCTGGGAGAATTTTTTTAAGGAATCATTTTATATTCCTGCCTCGTGTGTGAAACGGACAAGCCTTGCATTTCAGCCCAGGGAGCCGGGTTAGCAAGGAGTTTCATCTGCTTACTATGCAGTCAAAACGAAAGTCTTAAGCTTTTCTTTTTGGGAAGGGGGAGTAACCCCATAAACAGAAGCACAGTTTACAAACCCACCATGCACATTCGCAAGAATCAGTGATGTAAAAACAAACACTCGGCCTTGGATTCTTTAGCAAAGCAGTGACCCCCCCCTCCCCAGGTGCCAGTGCTAAGCATGGAGGCATGGAGCCCCCGGCAAGCGCGGAGGCAGGGAGGGTACCGCCTCCCCATCTCGGGGGCTCCTCTGCAGAGGAGCTGAAAGCCCTACATGGACTTGTCTCACTTCAGGCCCGGTTAATACACCTTTGCTCTCACATTTGGGCTCCAGCATGTTCCATTGTCTCCATACATAATACTCTGGTTCTAGTCTTCTGGACAGTTATTTTGTTAACTCATCACTATTCAGTTTTCGACAATCTCCCAGCACATAAGCTATTCCGTTTGGAAATTAGGCTGTTTTCAAAACTTGTTTTAACTCTTTCAAGCCACTAGGGTATTATTTAGTAAGTTCACTGAGGCAGTAATTTCCCAAGTAGGTATACATAGCAGGCCCTTTAAACACTGTCAACAAGCCAACTTGCGAGTTGTTAAGATCCAATAAATGCAGACATAATGCAACCCCAACCAGTTAAGAGATAAGTTACTTTGGGGATTTAAAAAGAGAAAATGAATCCAGGGAAATTTGCTAATTCTTTTGGACAGAACTTTAAAATTAGGGAATGAAGGAAAACAAATCGGACTTTACATATTTGGGTATCAGAAGAGCATTTGATTCAGAAAAATAATTTTACGCTTAGATTAATTCAAGCTGGGTGGACTATTGGAGACTAAAATGCATTAATAATTCTAATATGAATTTCATTAAATCCACATTTCCCATTACCTCTGGAGAATGCATAGTGCCAAACGCCGGCCTTTAAGATAAGTCCTTTTACTGTGCAAAAGTTTTAGGAAACTTTTTCCAGGAATTTAGCCCAGAGGAAAACCCAACAGAAACAAAAGCCATTGACATTTGTCCACACTGCAGCATTTCTCGGTTCTGCCAGGCATTTTTTAGTTATCTTGAATCAATTTCTCACTCCTACCTCTGGCATCTCACTCCAACAATACCATACATTGGGAGAGCATTTGCAATAGTCAAATGCTTTCCTTGTACATGATCTGCACAACCACTCTGTGGGTTTACATACGCTTCCCCACCCGAATGTAAGCTCCAAGCTGGAGGGATTTTGGCATCTGCTCTACTGTTACATCCTCAGAACCCAGAAGAGGGCTTGGTACTTGGATGGCATCAACGACCATTTGCTGACTTCTGTAAATGAAACTCAGGGACCTCAGAGGAGTAATGACAACACGTTTGTTAAACTCCCTAAAGTCTTCAGACTGCTGTCCTATTTATTCTGCTCTTGCAGAATCCCATATTTTATGAGAACACAATCTTCCTTTTTTTGTCATAATTATACATTACACACACACACCCCTCACACATTTCATTGTGTGACAGTGGCCAGAGTGACCTAACTCTTAAGAATTGGTGGAAGCTCTTTAATTAGGAACATTTAAAACCAGAAGAGATTCAACATCAAAAGGAAACAATGATAATTTTGAAATAATAGCACTTGAAGCTTATTCCTTTTATAGTTCTAAAAGGAAGTCATGGGTATGTTCATATTTATCCTTTGATTTTTTTTTAATCCTTCATTATGGTAATTTTCAAACATACAAAAAATAAATAGTATACTGAATCCTTATGAAACCAAAATATCGTTTTAACACTTATCTCGAGGTCAACCCTGTTTCATCTGTAACATAGACATTTCCATCCTACTTTCACTGGATTATTTTGAAGGAAATCCCAGATATTGTGTCATTTCATCAGTAAATATTTCAGTAATATATGTCTACACAATAAGGATTCTTAAAAAATTACATGTAAAAGCATTTGAAATAATCCCTTAATGTCATAAAATACCCAATTAGTGTTTGAATTTCCCCCCAATTTTTTACCAAATTGTTTTTATAATTGCTTTAGTTAAGTCAGGAGCCAGGAAGTTCCACTTATTTGTATTTATTTGATTGACATGTCTCAAGTCACACAATCCGCGGAGCCCCCTCGCTTTTTCCTTTAGTTTTTGCAATTTTTTTGCTAAAGACACCAGCTTACTTACCCTGCAGAGCTTCCCACTGTCTAGATTTTGCTCAGTTTATTTCCATGCTGTTGTATAAGATGTTCCTTGGCCCCCTTATTTCACGTCAATGGAAGTTTGGATCCGGAGGTATCATCAGACTCAGGTTCCACTTTTTGCTTGTGAACCATTTCCAGATGGTGTTGGGTACGGTCTGCAGGGGGGCGTCATTCTCTCTCTTCGTGATGTCTGCAGCCATTGTTTGTTCTTAAAAACTCTTTACACCCCAATTTTTTTGGTGATAGTATACATATTTTAAAATATTTATTAAATACCTGCAAGTTGTATTGTCTTAGCGCATTTTCATTTCTATTAATTACATAACATTTTTTCTTTTAAGCATCAGCTTCCAAAATTCCATCAATCGTACTAGTGTGTCATTTCTTGTGCCATGAGATGGGTACTCTTCCTTCCTCTGCCTCCTGCCCACCCCACTTCCCCTAGGAAGGGGATTATCATGATGGTGCAGTGGACTTTGTAACAATTCTTTTAGAATGTTGTCTTGTTTTTACAGCATTTTCCTCTGCCTGCCCCATAGACTCTCATTTCCTAGGCCACTAATCTTGCCTTCTTAGATTCTCATCATCAGTTCCAATCTGGGGTTTTTCCTTACACACCAAGCAATTTTCTGACACCAGCTGGATGTCCCACAATTCAACTCAACTCTGACAATATCTGACAGCATCAGATCCCACAGGTTAAGGGCTCAGCCCACAAGACTGCACACCTTCCTCAACTTCACATGCCAACTGCATGTCTAGATTGTCACCTGTGCTTCTGATGGACTGTCTATAAACCAGATGTTCCAAGACCCCCGCTTTGGTTTCAATTAATTCGCTAGAGTGGCTCACAGAACTCCGGAAACCCACTTATTCATTAGATGACCAGTTTATTACAAAGAATATTCAAGGACACAAATCAACAGACAGGTGAAGGGACACATAGTGCAAGGTCCCAAACAAAGGTCCTCTCTTGTGGAGTTTGGGCAGAGCACAGTAGCACATGGCAGAGTTCTGGTTCACCAATCTGGAACCTCCCCAAGCCTGGTCTTTTGGGGTTTTTATGGAGGCTCCTTTACACAGGCAAGATTGACTACATCATTGGCCACTGACATTGGATTCAACCTCCAATCCATCTCCCCCCACTCTCACCCTCCAGGTCTGGGGTGGGCCTCAAAGTTCCAACCCCCAATCATACGGTTGGTTTCACTGGCAACCAGCCCCCATCCTTAAGTGCTTTCCAAAAGTCACTTGATGACAAACTAAGATGTGATTGAAAGGGGTTTGCTATGAATATCAAGACACCTTTATGGCTCTTATCAGGAGATTCCAAGGGTTTTAGGAACTGTCAGAAATGGGACAAAGACCAAAAATATATTTCTTATTATAAATCACAGTATCATACTTTCCTTTTTCATTTTTATCTTTGACCTCACACAATATTCGTAATATAGGAAAATGTTTCACTTCTTCACTACTGATATCAAAGGCCACAGGTTGGAGGGCTTGGCTGAGCCTTCTCTTTGTGTCTAGCTTCTTGCCTAATCCAGGCGATGCTGACCACTCCCTCTTTACTGAAAACTTCCTCTTCGAGGCTCTTCTCGCTCCTCATTTACCCCCTACTCGTATTACTCCTTGGTCTTCTTCAGAGTTGCCCCTTCCTCTGCCCATTCCTGAGAGGTGACTGCGCCCAAGCGTTTGTCGCTGGCCCTCTTCTACCTTCACAGGAGGCCGAGTGACCTGATCCACTCCCCTGGCTTCGACCATTGACATAGGGGGATGATTCCCAATTCCAGACCTTCAACCAAGTCTTCTATTCTTGGCTTAGAATTGTGTATCCAACTGTTTACTAGAAATCACTCCCAGACAATTCCCCCACAGTGGGTTAGGAACTGAACCCATTACCTCTTACTTCCAGTCTGCCATCCCCTTTACCCCAAACCTGCCCGTCCTCATTTTCTAGCTCCGTGAATTATGTCACTATCAACCACACACACCAGCAGATCAGAAACCTGCTCTCCTCCTAGTTCCTTTCTGTCCTGTCAGCTCCGGTCCAGCCCT